CGAAAGCAAAACAAAACAACTCCCATGATAAACACTTTCCAATTTCATGCCAAAAAACAGATTAATTTAATAAATCCTTTTCTTTGGAATGATATCGAAGCAAACTTTTACTTTATGTAATCGTAGAACCTCAAGTAATGGATTTTCGGATTCCACGAATACATGATCTAATATTGTCTCGCATAATTCCATCTAAAGCAAACATTAACAATTAAAGGTGAATGAATGAAATTCAAAGAAATTAATTCAACGGAAAAATGTTCTTTACAGATTATAAACTCTGAAAGCTTTTCACTTTTTTTGCTGCAAAAAGTTATGAACTGTCTGACTTTATAAATTATAGGTTTTCTGAATCATTTGAGTAAGCAATTAATCAAAGCGATCAAGCGTGCAATTAATTCAACATCTCGCTCAAAATGATACCGTATCTACCTTCCAAACACAATTCAGTAATTCAGACAGTGAACGAAACTCTTTAAAACACATACTCCCTCAATACTGACTGAATTGCTGAATTTCATTCGACCGTGTCATTTATTGCAAATTAACCTAATGATCTGAATAACTCAATAGGATTATTTGGCCGTAATTAAACCTATTAGTGCCCATTAATTCTAATTCTATAATAATCCTCGTAAGTGCTATATCTCTGTGCATTTAGCAAAAGATTGCTCTAATCCTTTCATTTCAATGATTCAATTAAGCATTCTAATAACGTCCCGACTTACCGAAGTTTATCACTTCTATGAACTTTAGTTAATGATCCTCGACTCAGAAAAATGCTAGACTCTATCCCCCTTAAGCCAATACCTCAAATCGCGAAACCATTAAATCAAACGAGCTTTACGAGCTCTCACCTTCATGTCCTTATTGTCAGCCACCCAAACGTCTTTCAAAACTTTTCGCCATGTTCCCAATGGCTCATCCAATGGTGGTGGTTTATATTCTTCTTTCTTCTCCTCCTTGGTCTTCTTTCGTGGCTGATCCGGTTGATCCGATTCACTCTTTACCGCTTCGTTTGCTGGTGTCGTTTCTGTTTCCATGGGGTTTTCAATCGAAGTTTGTGCTGTCTTTTCAGTGTCACATCCATTTTGTTCATCGGCA